TGCAAATAATGTTTTCCCCCTTTGTTTGCACGCTGTGTGAGAATAATAAATTTAGCAGTTAGAAACACGCGGCGTGGACGCAACATAAGGTTTTCTTATTTACACGCTTCGAAACACGCGCTAAGTCCTCAAGGGGAGGGTGCCTACCACCTAAGTGTTTCCTCGTGGATGACACCGTCGTGGTCCTAACAGACACCAGCCATCCCAGAGCTCTGTTCGCCGTGCTTGAGGACTTAGCGCGTGTTTCGAAGCGTGTAAATAAGAAAACCTTATGTTGCGTCCACGCCGCGTGTTTCTAACTGCTAAATTTATTATTCTCACACAGCGTGCAAACAAAGGGGGAAAACATTATTTGCACGCCGCATTTGACGGGATTCGAACCGGGGACAAAAACTTAGCATGTAGGTGCGGTGCCACCGGCCCACGACGCCTTCCTGGCCGGTCGGGTTGCAAGTTTGCAGCACTTTGTACTGACCAAGCGTGTAAACAACGATTTAGTGCCTTATAGACACGCCGCGTGGAAATTGGGGCTAAAAGTATTATGTACACGCCAGAAAGAGTTTGAGGCGTCTCTATAAGAAATTGTACCGTTGCGTTCACGCCGCGTGTCTTTAACTGCTAGATTTATTATTCGCACACGGCGTGCAAACAAAGGGGGAAAATATTATTTGCACGCCGCACTCTGCGGGATTCGAACCGGGGACAAAAACTTAGCATGCGGGTGCGGTACCACCCACCCACCATGCCAGCCTGGCGGGACGGGTTCCTCGCTAGAAACACATTTTTCCATTCGGTGTTTAAATAAGCAAACACAGCATTGGAGATACGCCGCGTGCACCTAACTTGGAAAAATATTAAAGGCACGCCGAAACGAGTTTGAAGCGTGTCAATAAGAAAATACACCATTAGGGACACGCCGCGTCAACATAAAGCTACAAATTATTATTGATACGCCGGAAAAACCCCGGAAAAGCCGGTCCGATCGGGTCAGAACGCTTTTCCGGCGTGTCAATAATTTTTTTTTCAGTTAGAGCTACGCGGCGTGTCCTTTACCCGCGTAATTATTATGTACACGCCGCGTCTCAATAACAAAAAGCGGCATTGGGGACACGCGGCGTGTATATGATATCGGTCAACTACTTATACCCTGTTATGACTCCTTCTCGTGCGTTTTTTGAGCTTGCTGTTGTTAATCTCGGGTTGTCAGTATAGGTAAAGTTGTAAAAACGCACAAAAGTGGTAGGTTTCATGTTCATAGTGCTTAAAAACTAATTTTTCCTATTTTTCCTTTTTTTCCAAATTTTCTGGGTTTTTTTCCAACTTTTCCGGGTTTTTTCCGACCCTTTGAAAGTTTCCGGAAAATTTGCATCTCTAGGAACAATATACAGAAATTGACTTTTAAGTATTGTATGTAGTTTGCAGTGTACTGGTCACAAAAACTACATTTATTTCAATGCCAATCCTACATTTTCATCTAGAGCTACGCAATTTGGGGCAAAACTCTCCAAGTTGAGATTTATGTATTTCCCTGTAGTTTTCAGTGCGCTGACCTCAATATTGACATCTTAATTGTCCCCTAACCCAAAATTTAACCGATTTTTGGTTAAATTTTTTGAAATGAATTGTACAGTGATTCTTGCAGTTTTTTGAGTGCTGATAACGAAAATAACTCCCATTTTAACACCAGACCTATATTTTCATCCCATATTAGGTCATTTTGGACCAAAAATTTCAAGTCAAGTTTTATATTGTTTCCTGCAGTTTTTTGTGTGCTGAACTCGAAAATGACTTCCAAAATTTTCCCAGACTCACACTTACCCGAATTTTGACCAATTTTGGACCAAAATTTTTAAATCGAGTTTGACATTGATTCCAGCAGTTTTTGGTGTGCTGATAACGAAAATCACTTTCATTTCGACTCCAGACTTATATTCTCATCGCAAATTAGATCATTTTGGACCAAAATTTTCATGTTGAGTTTTACATTGTTTCCTGCAGTTTTTGGTGTGCTGAACTCAAAAATGACCTTCAAACTTTTCCCAGACTCATATTTAACCGAATTTTGACCAATTTTGGACCAAAATTTTTAAATCGAGTTTGACATTGATTCCAGCAGTTTTTGGTGTTCTGATGACGAAAATCACTTCCATTTGAACCCCTGGTCTAAAGTTCACTGAATATGAGCCCATAAGATGGACATTTCGTCTAATCAAGCAAAGTCCAAAGTGCACAAAAAATGTCAATTCGCATCGCTCAGCCACACTACGCGCCCAGACTGAACGGCGCGTACCCCTAGTAAAAAAGAGGACCGAACGAGAAAAGATTGCGGAAGAGATTACGACGCCTTCCCCTGCGTGAAAAGCCATAAATTAATAACACTGCTCTAAGTTTCCATAATTAAAAAGGCAGGCACCCGTTTTCTTTTTGGCGGAGCGGTGCGTGGAAATGAGGGAGGCTGTGACGCACGGCGAGCAGCGAGAACAGGGCCAGGCCGCCGTCAATCGTGCGGACAGGCGTCTCTCTCTCTCTCTCTCTCTCTCTCTCTCTCTCTCTCTCTCTCTCTCTCTCTCTCTCTCCCTCTCTCTCTCTCTCTCTCGCTCTCTCTCTCCCTCTCTCTCCCTCTCTCTCTCTCTCTCTCCCTCTCTCTCTCTCTCTCTCTCTCTCTCTCTCTCTCTCTCTCTCTCTCTCTCTCTCTCTCTCCCCCCCCCCCCCTGGACCCCGCATCATCCCTTCAGCCTGGCGGGAAAGCTGCTCGATAGCCCCCGGATTCGCCCCGCATGTGGCAGCCGAGCCCGGTGCACCTTTCCTCTTCGGAGAAGCAAAGCAGAGGAATAATAAAAAAAGAAAGGGCAGAAACACTTCGAAGCGCATGCACGGAGGCTTGACTTTGTTGATGAGAGGTGGGGCTGAAATTTGCGTTGCAGTCGAGGTGGACGAAGAGAAGCATTAACTGAAAAAAAAGGGATCTGTTTTTGCTGGCGTCCTGGTGCTCAGTGGGCAGTGGGCCAGAAGACCGGTGGAGCCGGCCAAAACTCTGGATGCGTTTTGAGCTTTAGAGTCACTAAACCGGACTCTAACCGAACGTGTGACCCCACCGATGGATTGCTCTCCGAACGAGGAATCCATTCATGGGGTCACACGTTCGGTTCGAGTCCTGTTTAGCGACTCTGGAGCTCAAAACGCGTCTGGAGTTGTGGCCGCCTCCACTGGTCTTCTGGCCCACTGTTGCTGGCCTTGGCCGGGACACGCTGCAGCGCGTGGACTGCGCGCGCTTCGCAGAAAATCACGCCTGGCTTCGCACGCGCGTGCAGGCGGGGCTCGGCTCTCGCTCTGCCCTCACTCGGCTCGTGTCGGTGCCATCCGGCCCCTACCTACCCATAATAAACCCTTTGAGGTCCAGCGAGCGACACAGCGACACGGCGCTCCGGGCCGCGCGCTCTGGCCCAACCCCCTCCCCCTTCCGTCCAATGAGACAGGCTGGCCAGCCGCACGCCACAGGCAACTGAAAAGCAGACGGCAAAGCACAGTCCTCTCTCTCTCTCTCTCTCTCTCTCTCCCCCCCTCTCTCTCCCCCCCCTCCTCTCCCCCCCCCTCTCTCTCTCTCTCTCTCTCTCTCTCTCCCTCTCTCTCTCTCTCTGTTGTACGCACACGCGCTGTCGGGGCTTCCCTTTCGGCCCCTAAATTCCCCTCACCTGCTGCCGTCATGCAAACACCCCACCCCTCCCCGCGTGTGGGGTGATCCCCGGGCAAGCACACTGTAGGTAGGCAACAACAGGTGTCAGGTGCGCAAACTCCAGCAAGCCGCTGCTCCAGACTGAGTCGTTTACGTCGCTCTGTCTCTCTAGCACTCTCACGGGACGCTTCATGAGAGCGAGAGAGACAGGGGGGGGGGGGTTCCTGTGGGGTTTGCAGTGCAGGCGGGCATGTGTCGGGCCCGAACCGGTCTGGCCTCTAATAGTAATGGTAATGTGGGTAGGCAACCGCGCTGCCTGCGCCCGTGGCTGCGACCCGTGTTGCCTACCCTCCGCACCGCAGGGGCTCCGGGTGACTGCACAGTGGGCCAGAAGACCGGTGGAGGCGGCCAAAACTCTAGACGCGTTTTGAGCTCCGGAGTCACTAAATGGAACTCGAACCGAACGTGTGACCCCACCAATGGATTGCTCTCCGAACGAGCAATCCATTGGTGGGGCCACACGTTCGGTTCGAGTCCCGTTTAGGGACTCTGGAGCTCCGAACGCGTCTGGAGTTTTGTCCGCCCCCACCGGTCTTCTGGCCCACTGTGGACCGGTCTGTTTCTCTCGCACGCACGGAGCCACGCGGAGCCACGTGGCCCGGATTACGGGCACGACAAAGAGCCTGGAAATAATTAATTCGCAGCCGGCTGGCGCGGGCTGGCGCTAGCTGGCGCGTGTCCCTCCGTCCCCGTGGGTGCGAGAGGGACGGAGCGATGGCCGTGCGGAGGCAGCCGGCAGTACCCGGCCGATTAAACTGTTGAACCGGAGCCGCGCCGGCAAGGCGACACCACGCGTTGCTCCCCGGAAAAAGGGCGGGGTTCGTCGCTGCTGTCCCAGAGAGTCCCGGAGAGTCCCAGGGAGACACAGGAGGGCGCACAGTGGGCCAGAAGACCGGTGGAGCCGGCCGAAACTCCAGACGCGTTTTGAGCTCCAGAGTCGCCAAATGGGACTCGAACCGAACGTGTGACCCCACCAATGGATTGCTCTCCTAACGAGGAATCCATTGGTGGGGTCACACGTTCGGTTCGAGTCCCATTTGGCGACTCTGGAGCTCAAAACGCGTCCGGAGTTCCAGCCGCCTGCCCCGGTCTTCCGGCCCACTGTGCGGCGTCCTGTCCACCTGCAGGTAATTGACCGTCTGGCTGCCTGGCCGCCGCGTGCGAAGCGTGCGAAGAGCGGCAAAGCCTCGGAAATTCGCCGGCAAAGCCCGGGGAAGCCCCTGGAAATGAAGTTTGCGGTGGCCATGGCCGTGGCCTTCCCTCTTACCGGAGGAGCCCGTGATGTCCATGGCCTTGAGGTTCCTGGCCTTGATGACCGTGACGGTGAGCCTGCCCGCCGTGGGCAGGTAGCACAGCGACAGCATCAGCTCGCCCAGGTCCACCTTGTCCTGCGCCACCAAAATAAAACTTCAGCGTAAAATGGAATAATTATAAAAAAAAAGAAGTTTTGATTGAAAAGCCCTGTTCCCTTCTCCATTGCGCTTCGCCTGAGCCCCGCCCCTTTGTACGGCCGTTACTTCCAGCCAGGCGGGCAGGCAGGGAAGCTTTTGAAGCGCCTGTACCGCGGCGCGTCCAACTTATGGTGATCACGGGGGCGGCTTCAATTCATGCCGATACAGTGTGCGTCAAAACAAGCCGGCGGGGTGGACGCCCCCGCCGAGCCAGGGCGAAGCAGCAGACTGATTCCGAGAGTCGTTTCGTCGCTCTGTCTCTCTCGCACCTGTGGGGGACGCGAGCGCGAGGGAGCCAGAGCGACGACTGCCCGTCTACAGGTCCGCGACGTCGACCGACCTTCAACTCGACGGCCTTGGCGGGGTCGACGATCAGCACGCTGGCCTGCTGTGCAGCCTGGCGGCCCGGCGGGGGCGTTGACGGGGCGTTGGCGGGGGCCTTTGCCCCGCCCGCCCGTCCCAATCTCAGAAAGACGAAAAAAGACATCGGGCAGTTGTTGGCGGCGCCCCCGCTCGGTGAAGGGGAGAGAGAGGGAGAGAGAGAGAGAGAGCGAGAGAGAGAGAGAGAGAGAGAGCGAGGGAGAGAGAGAGAGCCGGGGGGGGAGAGAGAGAGAGAGCGAGAGAGAGAGAGAGAGAGAGAAAGAGGGGGGGGGGGTCACCACAAAGGGACAGAAGTGTCACGGCAAAAATAGGAACGGACACGCAGCGGCGCGAGTGGGAGGGGGGAGGCAAAAGAGAGAGAGAGAGAGAGAGAGGGGAGAAGAGAGAGGGAGAGAGAGAAGAGAGAAGAGAGGGGGAAAAGAGAGGGGGGGGGAGCCACAGCCGGGGGGGGGACCCCCGAACACGACAATTACGTTAGTGGCAAAGACTCCGTGCGTCTTGTGTGCGTCGCCTCGACACGCGCGTGCGAGCGAGAGAGACGACGGCCGGGCCCGGGCCGCGGGAGCGAGAGAGACAGCGCGCTTGGGGCGGACACGATCCCATCAGAGCGCGGCAAGTGGACCATCGTGCTCGCAGTGGAGGCTAAACACCTAACCCTTCGAGTCCCGCTGGCCCCCAGGCGCCTCCAGGGCTCTCTCTCTCTGTCTTTCTCCCTCTCTTTCTCTCTCTCTTTCTCTCTCTCTCTCTTCTTCTCTCCTCCTCCTCTCTCCTCTCTCTCTCTCCCCCTTTTTCTTGTTCTAGTAATCGTTTACAAAGTGCCGCGGGAAAAAAGACGCTTTCGACGACTCCGGACGACTCGCACGCTGACCTCCAAAACTGGCACCACCACCAGACGGGTGCGGAAATTCACCGGACGTTGACAAAAGTAAGAGGAGCGCGAGGATTCGAACCATTAACCTTCCCGTCCGGAACACATGGCCAGACCCTACCCAGAGACAACCCGCGTTTTGCGGCATGGCTCAGTGTTGCCACTCGAGAGGGCGAAACATTCAAAGATGCACCAGAGTCGAAAGGGTTGTTGCCAACATCAGCCTGCCTACTAGGCTACTTCTCGAAGGCAAAAGTCCAGGTGCTGCCTAGGCCGAGGTTGGCGACCCTGTCGACACTGCTGCATGGTGGGAGTTTTCGCCAGAAGACCGGTGGAGGCGGCCAAAACTCTAGACGCGTTTTGAGCTCCAGAGTCGCTAAATGGGACTCGAACCGACCGTGTGACCCACCAAAGGGTTGCTCTCCAAACGAGGAAACCATTGGTGGGGTCACACTTCGGTTCGAGTCCCATTTAGCGACTCTGGAGCTCAAAACGCGTCTAGAGTTTTGTCCGCCTCCGCCGGTCTTCTGGCCCACTGTGCGGGGCTGCGCGACGCGGGGCTGCCGGCGTAATACAATTCCTTGCGCTGCCAGAGAGGTCCTCCGGGACGCGAACCGCGAACCGCAAGGCGAACCTGTTTGGTGTTGAGGATGTTCATGGTGTACTCGATCTCCTGGGACAGGTCGGCGGCGTCCAGCAGCCCCTTGAGCACCACCTGGCCGATGAGGTCGTGGCGGGAGAAGCGGTCGAAGTCGTACACCGAGAAGGACAGGAAGCGGCGCCGCAGCTCCTCGTACGTCACACTGGAAAAAGAGCGTGCCGGTCAGCAAGAGAAAAGGCAGGCCCGGTGCAGGCGGCCGAAACTCCAGACGCGTTTTGAGCTCCAGAGTCGCTAAATGGGACTGGAACCGAACGTGTGACCCCACCAATGGACTCCTCGTTCGGAGAGCAATCCATTGGTGGGGTCACACGTTCGGTTCGAGTCCCATTTAGCGACTCTGCAGCCCTAAACGCGTCCGGGGTTTTGACCGCCTCCACCGGTGGTCTTCTTGCCGCAAATCCACTGT